TTTTCCTAAATTTAGTGCATTAAATTAACCTTAGAAACATCTATTACGTTCGCTTTTCTTGTTGGTCCATATATGAACCAGTCCCGGAGCGAAAAGGTTAAGAAATCAGTGAGAATATTTATAATATTACATTTGTAATATCGCTTAATATAGTGTTGCGGGATACATGCTGCGTCGACACCAGTTGGTAAAATATCGGTTCATTCGGTTACGCGTCGTTTGTGTTACATGTATATTTATGTATATGTATATATATATATATGTATATATATATATTATATATATACATATATATATTGTGTGTTACGTCCTGACCTACGGTTATAGGGTCCTAACGGAGAAACGCAACTTGACACACGACACTTTTGTGTATTATATCTCGGCACACTGACCTAATGAAATAAGGCAAGCATGCGAGTCGAGCGAGACTGTTCAACGACGTAGTCAAGTCAACGGACTTCCCGATATTACTTGTCTAACGTCTTCTCACTCGTCGGTCCTCTTTTAGGTCTTAGAATCAAATCTAATTTACCTGGGACAGGACCTGGCAATCACGTGATGAGATTACAGGAATGAGTTTTCAGGATAGATGTTCAAAAGTTCATTTAATTAGTTAAAGCCGTTTTCCTTTTTATGAGTATATAAATCATTTTTATTCAAAATATTAACATTTAGGTTTATTCAAAAAATATATTCTTACGCAAGTTGAACTGAATAATTGGACGTGTGATGAAGTTTGGTGTCGATTTGAATATACATTGGCATTGTTATTATTTTTGATCCTGAGAGTTTGTTATTAACATTATTGGTAGTATTTTCATTATTTTAAATCCTTATGTAAATGAGCACCGTCACTATTTAGGCTATTGTCGGATAGACGGGGGTTGGTATGCTTCGCTCGCTCGACGGGCAGCGGTTCTCCGCCGCAAGGTTCGGTTTTAGATATCGCGTTGTTAGAATCACGGTTGATTTTTGGAGCGGTCGTATGACACCTATATACGACTTGCTACTGCTCAAAGTTTGACAGTGGTAATTGGAAATCGGCAGCGGTTCAGAACAACTGACGTCGTGAGCTGCTAATCCGACAGGAATAAAAAATCAACAGCGGCTCGGAACGACAACCAAAGTCGCGAGTCGCTAATCTGACAGAAAAGGAAATCGGCAGTTGTTCGGGACGACACAAGGTCGTGAACAGCTAATCCGATTGAAAGGAAATCGGCAGTTGTTTAGGACGACACAAGGTTGTGAACAGCTAATCCGATTGAAAGGAGATCGGCAGTTGTTCGGGACGGCACAAGGCCGTGAACAGCTAATCCGATTGAAAGAAAATCGGCAGTTGTTCGGGACGACACAAGATCGCGAACAGCTAGTCCGACTAGGATGTCGAGAAGAAGAGCTTACTAAATGGAGCAGTTATTAATTGAATTGTCGAATTTAATCCTTTCTTCCGAATATCAACCGTCTCGAAAAAGGTTTTACTGTATGCGTGAAAACCTTAGATTTGTTTTGCAAACTATTGCATTAGTAAGTACTCACTACTTATTGTTCACGGTAGAATGTCGAGATGAATTATTGATTATGATATTCGCTTCGTCCAAAAGTCAGGAGTTTTTCAGCTGGACTCAGGTGAAATGAATTGGTCGTCTCCTCCGATGGAAGGTGTCACGAGTCGCACTGTTCACTCGGATTTACGTGCCGAGATCAATGTCAAATTAAGGATCGTTTGGATTGTCGAATTTTAGACCGAACAGGAAAAGCAAGTATCTTTTCGTATGACCGAATTGACTCTAAGTTAAATTGTTGAATCGCACGAGAAGAAATAGAACTGTGTTAATAATTTTAATGATGGTTATGAAGTTCTTGCTCTCCGGTGTTCCAACGCCTTATATATGATGATCTCGGGGCGTTAACTCTTCTGATTTTTGCCAATCGTCTTTAGATTTTACTCTCCAACTCTTTACTGGTTAAAATTTCGATCTTTCATTTGCTAATCCGATCAGGCGAGAGGACCAATCATCAACAATCATTCTTTCTGATTGACTCAATATTTGTTTAAACTTTGTTATCTGCACGTACAATTTCCTGTTTATTTTCGGTGCCATAACATTTCTTGCTAGAAATTAGTGGACCGCCTAAAGTATCTAAATTTATATTCGTGAACCAAACATCCGGGCTACTTGGTGATTAACTGACCAGTACTCATTTGAAAGTCGATAAGAGTGATTAGATAAAAAATTGCGATACAGATCTGTTTATCTTAGTTCAATAGGTCCTCTGTTCTCTGTTCAAGAATTGTTATTTAAAAATTAATTTTAAGGCGCAAATCTTAAAGCTAGTTTATGTCTAGTTCCAAACAGAAGGGGACTGTGGAGTCCAGGACGTAACAATATTAACTACACAACACATATACAGGGTGTCTGATAATAACCGTATAACCGTTCGTGTGTAGATAGAAGAGATTATTCTGAATCAAAAAGTTCTTTACCATTTTGCGATATTTGCAATATTTAACGAGATTTTAATACATAAAGATCCACGAATGAGCGTGCAGCAACGTGCAAAATGACAGTGTTACGTCCTGGAGACTCCACGGTCTCCTTTTTTTCCTGCGACGCGACGCGTCAGCGCATAGCAACCCTTTTTTTTGGTCAATAATAATAAATAATTTAAACGGGTCTCCTATCGTTTGGAAACTTAAAACTCCAGACGATAGGAGGACAAACGAAAACTATATCGGCGCCCGGAAAGATAAACTGCGCCTAGCAATAACACGAAATTTTAGATAACTATTCGAGCAGCTTTCAAAACAAACCCGGATATCTCCGGGTCATGAAAATGCCGGTCATAAAAATTAGAGCGACCGGCGCAAATAGAAATTCCGGCATTTTTATTACAAACAAACAACAAGGGGTCTATGCGGCGTGATCGGAAAAGACAACACTCTCCCTTTTTCCTTCCCCGGAAAAT